ACACTACACTTCACATCACTTCACTGTATAAGGGCCATGACGATAATAATTATGACAATAATAATAATTATAATAATAATAATAATAAAAGTAATAATAGTAATAATAATAATAATATAAATAATAATAATATAAATAATAATAATAAAGATAAATGTAAGTGTTAATATATTATTAACACTATGTAAGTGTTAATATATTATTGCTACTATTGTTGTTATTGCTATTATTATATTACCGTTATTATGTTACCATTGTTGTGTCTCGGTTGCTGTGATGGTTGCGTTGTGGGCGGCAGGGGCGACGCGCTGCGGCGGGTGTGGCGACAGGCGCGGGACGAGGGCGGCGCGCGGCTGCAGGCCGACCTGGAGGCCTTCCTGCAGCAGCTGGCGCGCGAGCTGTGGCGGCGCCAGCGCGACTACCAGCAGCTCGAGATGACGCTCGAGCGCCACAAGCAGGAGCACAAGCACGAGGTAGCCGCCATGAATCACTTGTCTCCAAAAACAGAGCCTAGTGCCAGAGGTTTCGCCTTTCCAAACGCACTTGACGTAAATGCAGTATCAATGGGATCTTTCAACTGCACTATGTTTGACGGTGTTTCCTTTTGCGAACCAGGTTTTTAATTTCTGTAACATCTAATACTCCGAAATATTATTTTATTTGTTTATTTCAAGAATATTTATCCGTTCGTCGATGTATGTCCGTTGTGAGAAAATTTATTCTTGGGCTCGCGCAGAACCGTCCGTGCGGCATGGCGGCGACGAAATTTACGTAAAGAATTTTTGTTTAATTATTTACGTGGATTTAGATATCTATCTACTCTATGCTCTATCCGTTATGAAATAAAAATATCCATCCTTGAAACAAACCTTACAATTTAGCTAGTTAAATCGGCTTTAAACAGAAATCATACACAGAACACTTCTATAACAATAGCAGGAAAAAACAATAACAACGCATTAAAAAACTTAGCCAATTAACATTTCCCACTCGTTCCATTATTCACTACGCACACATACCTCCTTTGATTTGGCTGTGCACGCACGGTCATTTACCCTTATTATACTAATTAAATTATTTAAACCTAAAGAACGCTTGAACTTCCCACAAATATTTATATTATTTCAGTCACTTTGTCACTTCCCCAGTTTGTTGATCCTCTGCTCTCTTGTACCCCGATTTTGGCTGTATTTCCCAATTATTAGTTCAACAAGTCGTTGGACATATCCATTTTATGCCTTTCCATTAGTATAACCATCGTGTTGTTACAGCTTCTCCTGGATACATTTTGTTTCTTCTCTGATGTTTCGAGCTGATTTTTCCTACCTCTCACGCTCCTTTTTCTGATTGGAAACTCATCCCTTGGAGCTTAAGTGTTTACTCTTTGACTTGCGATTATCCCATACTCATAATTTTAATTAATCGCACTAAAATTTCCCACGTGTTCATATTAAGTTTATTATTAAAACAACTTCCACTATTTTTACTCTTCTATTTATCCTACTCCACTTTCCTTGAACTCTTGTCATTTATGCAATTGCAAAATGTTTACTGCGGATTCCCATTGTTGACATCGTCCATATTTTCATAATACATGAATTTTATTTATATCTATTAGGCCCTCTAATGACCCTTCACTTATAGTTGGAGGCAGCAACAAGGGTATAAAAAAGAAAAAAAAATCCTTAATTCACTCGCAGTTAGTATTGCTGTATCGTAAAAATACAAAAATGAAGCTTATTGGAAATGTTATCCCAATCCCTTCAATTATTTATATTCGTTAATTACAAGTTACTTAGAAAACAGTCTACCGTGTATTGAACCGTTATTGTTGTCTGAAGAGAAAATTTCAAAAGCTCACTAAGATAAACTAATTGAAACATATTTTAGTAGTCATCTGTTTAGGATACCCCTTTAACAAACACTGGAACTAATCCCTAATGACCCTGTTCTTTCCTTCCTCTTACTTATCATACTTACACTTACTTTCACACACTTACACTTACATGCTCTACACTGCCATATATTCCGGGAGACCAGTCGGGAGCTTAGAGCTTGTCCCGGTTGGGGCGGTACCCCGTTGGTGAGAAATACCTGGTTCGGGGAAACCTCGTTAGGTCGTAAAAGCTTTTTCAGACAAAAAACAGATGTTGAGGGGACGATGTTTTCGCTTTAGCGAAAGAAAATATTTTATTTCCTCGTCACTGCACTGTCTACCCATTTCCATTTTTTTAGTCTGTATGCATTTGGCATAGAAAGATAAATTGAACGAATTTGCTTCATATTCAATGGATGGTTTAAAATCTCCCATTCAATTGTTATTTCATCGAGCTCATAGAATTATTATTTTTTCATAATATTTTTTGGAAACAACGTTTGAGCGACTTTGGGGCAATACATTTATATTACATTATTAGCAGACGTATATACAAACTCGTATGAAGACATTCAAACAGTTACACGCAATAAAAAATTAGGACGATTTTTGTCTCGCCAAAATTGATCCGTTCGATTTGTTGGAAATAAGAAATTGTACATGAAAAGAAATCGCGGCACTGAAAGCACGTTAAAAAAAAGAGCACACCTAATAGTCATAACTTGGGGAAAAAAGTTGTTTTGCTCCTGAAAACCAGTCTTCATTCCCATAGTTAGCATGGCCGCAAGGGACGGGTGCTCAGTTCGCTATGTACTCGTGAGGAACGCGTTGTGGCTACCGCGCGCCTGCGCGCCTCCAGTCGTTAAGGTTTCCACCGATGCGTCTTTTGCAGGTGCAAAGGCTGTTCGAGGAGATGGAGGCGCAGCTGGCCGAAGACAGGGAGAAGATTCTGAGGCAGGTAAGGTATCGAAGACGTTTGTTTTTTCTAGCGTTCAATATCTCAGAGCTTTATTCATTGCACTCAGATGTGCGACACGATTCAAAATCCCGTTGCTAGTAGTAGGGGCGGATCAGAGACCTATTTTGGGAGGAGAAATTCAAAATGTTTTCGTCCAATCTATATATTACAGATTTTGTACAACGTCGCAGGCTACACTCAGCTCATGCTGCTCATGATTTTATTCGTTTTAATGATAATCCGAATTTTTGCTTGAAAGTTTCGTGATCAGTTAAAATTAATAGTTACTGCAAAATTTTAGAGGGGGGAGGGATTTCCCTCAATTTCCCCCTTGGATTCGCGCCTGCTGGTGGTGAATGAAATGCAATAAACCCTCGTTAGCACGAACTCGCTTAATACAAAATTCGTCGCCGAACAAAATTTAGACCCCACCAAAGAAACGTAGAAATTAGGATATAAAATATGATAACACGAATTTTTATCTAACAAGAACACCAATTATATCAGTCCCTTGGAATTCCTGATAACGAGGGTTTACAGAATAAAGTTTACAACAATAAGGGATATTCACTTCTTTTTTACCTCTGCATTTTCACTGACTCGTTTGTTACCTAAAATTAGTAATATATTTTATTACTTGATTTTGTTTACTTGTATTATTTACATTTTATTCATCTGGCCTGAAAATATTTTTTTTAATTCAATGGACGGTGAAACACTCGCAGTGTACTTTGCCTTTCGTATTTGCTGAGAACACTTCATTGATGAGTGAATAGTATATCCGAAAAAATCAAGTCCCGCATTAAGATGCGATTGTGAGAGTCGGGTAATTACAAAAATATTTGTGTTATTCTCAATTCTCGTTGAACTTTCTAAATTTTCTAAAATTGCAAAAGTTAAATTTTTTTTGGTTCCTTCCTACCACTACCATATTGAAGATAGATATTTTGAAATGAAATCTGTTCTTCAAAAACGGCTATTTAAATAAGATCATGTGCAAATTTTCGGAAACATGGCAGGTTTTCGTGTAATTTTGCGTGAAAAGTATGCAATTTAAAAAAAGCTTAAAAGCGGCTCCAAATTTTGTCAGAACGTGCCCCGCCAAAAGCCAATGAATAATTAGTTGCCACAAATGAGGGGCAAATGCCACACGTGTAACTTTGTTACATAAAATTTCCCACCAAATCTCATTAGCAAAAAGCGACCATCTTCGAACCTTCTACATGGAATTGTGGAATTTGTTTTAAAATCCTATATTTCCACAATTTTTAACAAATCTGAACTCAGAAGGGTTCCAATCAGCGGACCTTCAGAGAAGCCGGAATAATATTGTCCTGTAAGACAATTCATTTCCTCTCGATCGCAAGATGATATCATTTTCGAAAAGGATATTTTTACACCATGTGACAAATGAATTTGTGTTTTTTTAATACTGGCTCCCATTTCGTGATTCAAATTTCCCTTACTTTTTCTGGTCTCCCTGTGATTTAAAAAAAATGTTATTGATAAATTTCTAGAGAATTTTAGCTTAAAAATATTATAGCAAGTCTGATACTAATTTGTCAGTTCTGTTTTCTTTTCCTGGTCTAGAAGTTTGTGACAATTATTATGAGTGACCTGTTCATACAAAAAAAAAAAAATAAGCGGAAGACATAAATAAAATTGGAATGTAAACCTTCAGATTCAGAGATATGACATTCCGTCACAATAAAGAAAGAAGGAATGCGATATTTTGTTGCCAAATGAACAAGCAAGATCAACTCGTGAATAATGCACAGAACAGCGAATTAAAAACATTTGGTGAGGAGTATCAGAGAAGGAGGTAGATTACAATCAAAATGCCAAAACCAGAAACGATATTAAGAGCACGAACTGCACTTGTCACTCGAACAGCTCCAGGTCGACCGTGCAATTGCGAAAAGCGGACGAAGTTGATGTTGGTCGAATCGCATTAGGCAAGGTCATCTCCAACATCTGCATGTATTGCCGATGATCTTGGAATGGGCAATGCTCCAGGGCATTGGCTTGAGCGACGAAAGCGCTAAACTATCTTGCAGCTAGTATTAACTGTGCGGCCACTTTCTGGAAAACCGAAAAAAAACAGTCAGGAAATTTCGTTGTTCTGGAAAAGTCACTTAAAAATCAGGGAATTTGTTGAATTCTTAAAAGTCAGAGAACAGTTTTAGATGGCTATATAACTAGATATTATTCCTTAAAAAATCATTGAGCAAAAAGTATTGACTAAATTTTTATTTCTTGAATTTTTTTAAACAAGATTTGCTCTTTTATCACGGTGAAATCAGGGAACTGACAAATTAGTATCAGGCTCGCCTTAATATTTTTTTAAATAGTGTAAAGTTCTCTACTACTGTTATTAGTAAAACAATTATACACTGGAAAACCAAGAAAAGTAAGGGAAAATTTTCCACAAAAGGAATAGCCACCTTCATTAAAAAAACAAATTCAGATCGAGAGAAACTGAATTGTCCTACAGGGCAATATCGTTCCGGTTTCTCTAGAAGCTGGTTGGAAGCATTGTATCTTCAGATTTGTTAAAAAAGCGGATTTGGTGAAATGGTGCATTTGTTAAAAAATAGTATTTTTAAACAAATTCCATAATCCTTCCCTATTCCTGGGTTTCTTCTCCCCTCCACACAATTTCCTTCACAAATATTGCCGCCCCTGCCTCCCGTTGTAGGCATTTTGAGCAATGGAAGGTAGTGAAGGACACCTGTTGTTTTTTCATGAACAGACCTGCTTTAAAAATATTAATGAAATACTCTGGAAACATGAAATATAAATGCATTCCTGTTTCACCTTCTTGGTTTTTGAATTATTTACCCTGGTAGTGCATTGGGTTAACAGTCTTCAAAATGCATTCGTTTTCGAAATAGATCGAAGATGCAACTCTTTAGAGCACTATGTGTTGTGTTTTGGCCTACGAGCTAGAATATACTAGCACGTTGGTTTTGCCTACAGTGTTGTTGCTTTTTTCGTTGTTTTGTTTGGTTTTCGTTGTTTTTTTTGTCGTTAATTTTCTTCGGTTTTCGCGCATGTTCAAACTGCCCCTTTCATTGTGTATGTTTGTTCTCAACAATATTTTCAAACAATATTTTCTACGAAAATGCATACAAACCCAAAGGAGTAACACAAAGGAGGGATATAAATAAAATCATTTGCATTTTTTGTTTTAAGCAAAATCTTATGTTTTTTGCTGTAGGGAGAAGAGAAGCTAAGACTTAGTAGAAAGGTTCTAGAGCAAGAATTAGCAAATAAGACAAAGATGCTGCATAAAACTTGGGAAGATCATAATTGCTTGACGGAACAACTGCAAGCTCTTCGATGTAGTGAGTCAGCAGCAAAACAGGAAAATGCTCAATTATTGAGGAGTAAGGTAAGTTGATTAATTTATTTAGTATACACGAAATTGTCTGCATCTTTAACTTCATGCTATTTTCTTATTACAAAGGAAAGACGGAAATTTGTTATTATCACCCAACATAAATGTTATAACCCCTTTGATACCTTTATTTACTACTTAGATTACTTACATTTCTAGATATTTTCATGAACACTAGAACTACTTGTTCTTCCTCATGATACCATTATTCACATTCAGTGGACAATATTCATTATTTTTAAATAATTTATTTCCTAAGGAATTGATCAAAATTACTACTTTACTTATGTTGTTTTATTTATATGAATAAGGAAATTAAAATAGCTTATTTTAAAAAACATTCTTTTTTGGTTATCGTGTATTATGAATAGTAAAGCGGGGTAGTATTCCTTGATCGCCGCGCGGATCGCTAGAGTCAACACGTCGCCACAGGGCATTCAACACTGAGCTGAGCTACTGTTTAAATATGTATACTGTGGATCAAACTCATTTATATTGCTAAAATGCAATAAAACTGCCGAGCAATAACAACACTATTCTGCACGAAATAATAGTCTTAGAATACTATAGATCTTAATTAATTATGGTCTCAGTGTAGTGTATTTTATTTTTGAGCAGATCTTCTATGCCGAAAGTTAATGTTTCTTGTTTAAATACTTTTAAAGTGCAAAGCCATAATTAATTGGATTTTTCTTGTACGTTTTCTAAAATAACCCCGTACTTAATGTTCAGTCTTGTCATGATCAGACCTATCGTAGTTTTTGTTTTGGAATAGATTGCGAATGCCGAAAGTAAGAAGATAATAAAATTAAAGTTGGCCAAATATTTACACTTGTGTGTAGTTAGCTTTTATACTGTAATTTAATTTGATTTGAGGAATTTGAGCAAAATGTCTTTACCAGTTAGTCTTTCGGCTTCAGGCGTGAGCCAAAAAAGTGAAACGAATATGTATGGTAATTAAAAAAGAACGTACATGGAACATATTTAAAAACTATCGTTCGTTTACCAAATTTTCATCCAAAAATATATACAACTATCCAAACAGTTTGCTGCGTACTACATCCAACAAATAAATAATGATTCTCTAATGAAGACAAAGGACGAGTCACGATTGCTACTTCTGAGCGATTAATTTTTGTCATTAACTCTCAATTTTTTCGTACGGTGTAATTCTTTGCGGAGCAGAAGGCAGGCAATTACAATGAGGTACGGAATGTATGAAGCCAAGGGCAGGGGTGGGGATAGTCGCCTTTTCAAGCCGCCCGCTGAAAAGTCGCTAGTTATTTCAATTAATGCTAGTTATTGCTATTGATTCTCACTCGCGGAGCTTCCCACGTGTCCCCGCTAACATCTCGTGCCATCAAAAGATAGAGGTACACTAGCGTCGTCAACTTGCGTCAAAATCAAAGGATAGCGGTACTCAAGTGTCACGGTCAACTTGCGTCAAAATTACGTGCGTTGTTTCAACGGGCACGCGATACGTCAGGACGTACGTTGTTCGCATAGAGTTGAGGCAATAGCGAGGGGAAAAAAGTTATGGGTTTACCTGGTTAATAATGAACGTTATTTATAAACTAAATTTCACCTCACTTATTTGTCTATTGTATGAAATAAAAAAAATCTTCCGTGAATTAAAAAAAATGGCGAGTTCTATTGTTCCGGTCACTTCTGCACTTCTTCGATTCCGTGACTTTTCTATCCATATTTCGATTGCTCGGCAATACGTGTTTTTATTGCTGACGTCCGTCTCAACGTAGTGTGCCAACAACCAAATATTTCCTATTGATAATATAACCTGCGTCAAGGAGTAACGCACGTTGGCTTGTGCTTGACGTCCGTTGTTTGGTAGGAAACGCTAGGTAAACAGGCTGCGCATCGCACTCGTGTGCCACGGTACTCGTGTTCCTTTCACGCTACAACGGGCGCCCTTTAACGTCCGTCATTTGACGTTCGTGTGCCGCTAGCCAAAGAGACACCATTTTGACGTATTGTATATTACAGACAAACTGCGAATCAAGCTTCTCGTTGTTATGGGGAAGGGGAGTAAGCGAATTGCTTCGCACACCGACATCCAAATAAATACGTTTTTTTAATTTTTTTTCCATTCGTAACAACGAAAGTTGCGCAAAAGACTCCAGTTTAGGGGATTCGCGTCTTTCGGTACATTTTTATATAGAAAATTCAAATTTTAAATGTTGAAATTTTTCAAATCTAACAAATTAGATAAACTGCAGTAAATATTTTAAAACTGATTGATCATTTTCTACTTTTTTTCTTTACTCTTTGTGAAAAAAATTGAATTAATTTTTTTACTTTTCAACTAATTTTAAAAAGTTTAGCATGATATTCTCTAAATGAAGGAACAAAACTTTTAGTGCACAGGAATAAAGCTTGGAAATTCAAACATTAGTAGATAGAAATTGAAGCAGTTATGTAATTTTATTGAAAATTTTATAATTTTTAAGATTAATACATCCAAAGATATGTTTTAAACAAATAGTAACTGTATATACTCCTCACGCACAGATTTTGTATGTATCAAGATAAAGTAGATAAATTTTTATTATTCAATCGTTTTCATATTATAAGTAATTCAAAATTCTATAGGGTGGAAATATTGATTTGCACTTATATGATAATCATAGTACACGTTTTAATGGCTAGGAACAAGGGCCAGGAGAAATATTTATTTTTTCTGGCAAGGAACTAAGGATGAGAAAAGAATTAGTATACTGTCATCTACTGGGGAAACAGATTTTCCCTACACATCACAAAGGGCCAGTCTGTTCTCTTGGTCTATCAGGTATAACTTTTTCGTGGAGAAACCACCTGTAAACAGCCAGGCTCTGAAATGTTCAATGCACCAGATGCGTGATGTTGGACATGGGTACATTTTCTAATATTGCAAAGTATTTATTAAGAAAGTTACACATATGTGAATAAGTTGTACAGAATATCAAAGTCAATTGAATTCTATTTAGATTTTGAGATTCTGAACACTTCTCCGTGCCCGTGCTGTGGAGTGGAGGTACTTAGAAGAGCTAAACTTTCAAATGTGTAGCTAATAAAATAAAAAACAAAAAGATTAAAAGAAGTTAAATTTTGTAGTTTACAACTTAACAAACATAGTAAAGTTTTTAAATGCCTCCTTATGATAACAAAAAAAAAGCAAAAAAAAAAACCACCTCTCCTGTGACTAATTTCTTTAGTACATTCAATTATATCTGTCATCTATTAATTAAATAGGTAGTGATTTTATCTGTATTTTTATTTCACTTGTTACTATGATGTTTGCCCCACCACTTCTCAAGAAGCTTTAAATAGTTAAATCATTTTTCTATATACAGTTGACCCCCTTCCACCATGAGTATAGCATCAATTTCAGATTATCATGAACAAAATGGTTCATGTACTCTTCATTGATTTTTTGTTTATATAACCTCTTATAATATTTAAAGTTAGTATATAACTTTTCCAGCAATTAGCAACTTGTCACAATGGTCATCTGTGAATTTTGCAGATACTATGTATGATTTTATCCGTTTTGACTTTATTTAAGAGTGTGACAACTCTCGATGTTTTACTTAAAATTGAATGGTATTTCTGGTAGGAGGAACTGGAGCTTCGACTAACTCAACAATGTCGAGAACTACTACGCTTGCAACATAGTTTAGAAGAATGTCGTCAAAATGAAGAAGCTGAGAGAAAGAAAAACCTTTCTGAGGGATTTCGTCTTGCATGCAGCATAATGTTGGAGCAACAAGGTATACAAGAAAGAAAGAAGAAAAAAAAAGAGTTTTGAGTGTAAATATTGTGGTTATTAAAAGAACTCCGCAATAGTATTATCACTATCCTATTTACTTACAAAATTAAGTCAAATTATTATTATCCTTTGTGACTTTTTTTCCATATTTTTCATACTTTTCTCAATTTCTTTTGTGTCTCATATTATTTGAATTTTACTTCACTTATTTCATCGGATGCCCCTTTCTCTTTGATTCCTCTTCTTATAAACTTTCTATTTCTATTATTTTTTAATTTCATTGCAGCATTAATTTTTTTGTGGCATCCTTTTTTTTGGGGGGGAGGGGAAGGAAATTCATATTTTAGTTGCCTCATTTAATAATACATCATATGTTCTACACATGGTAATAACACCTAGTACACATAAGAAGATACCCCCAGCAATCACCTAGTTCTATAATTTATTTCTCAGTTTGGAATTTTCTATGTATCTTCAGCTTAGAATGATTTATTAGAATTTGGGAATGGAGAAGTGATAAAAAATTAATATTTAATCTGGGGATTCTTCAGGGCTGCTTCAGCAACTACAACTTGTGCGTGGAATGGTTGCGACTCTTGATGAAGATGTAAATCAAAAGGTGTGGCGGTCTTCAGAAGAAAGAAGGTAGCTTATGTTTTTGTTTACTTTTCTCGTATAGTCATAGTGTGTATACATCCTGTAAAATTTGGGATCATCCTGGTTTCCTGAGTTCTGTTCTATTGTCCTGAATAACTTTGTTGAAATGCCAAAATGTCCTGTATTTTTCCACATCCCTTCTTTTGCTATTGGGTAGAAAAAATACTAATATTAATTATCTACTTAAAATCACATGAAGAGAAACAACAACAAAATAGGCACACTCTAATTGCCCTTCTGCACCCTGCAAATCTCAGAGATCTGGAGGCAATTTAATGTTTTCATCCATACCAGTTCAAAAACAGTACTATGTAGGGAAAAAGTTACCAATTCAAAATTAAAGCTGGCAAAATTGGCTATGAAATTGCTTTTATTCATTACTCATTCTCAAAAGCTTTCAAGTAATTTGCTGCAAAAATTTCAAATCTTCAAGTACTTGACTGCTTCACATTTTTGGATAAATTTTGTCTTTTAGCACCATTGAATTAGTTTCACATCAATATTACTATTGTTCAAGTTATAGAATTATTTTTTTTTTAATTAATTATTATTTGCTATGTTATCTTTAAATGATCAATATTATATAATTTTTAATGTTTAGACAGTTTCAATTTTGTTTTTTCTGCATGCACTAACTTCAGAAGCAACATTTTGGGTGTATGATAGTGCTTTTTCCTTTATACCACAACAGGAAAGAACTAGTAAATTCCCATACAATCCAGATGATCAATGATGTAATAAAAATATAAAGTGGAAGAGATCATTCACTTAGGCGTGTGTTATTTAATATTTGACAATATTTTCAGAAGAAAATTTAGGAATCCAGAATTATTTTTAAAATTATATATGAACTCTAAATAAACATGATAGTGAATTTTCTGTAGTACTGAACACCCTTAAGATGCTCTAATTGAAGATCATGTTTACAGCCACATTTTTCCAAGGAAGTAAAATCAGAAAGACAAACCTTGTTTTACTACGTTTTCACATCCTTTATTTAATTTTTTTTATCCCATAAGATAGTTATCATATCATATTAGTTGAAGACGTAAATAATTTTATTAACATTTAATTTATAGCATGTTCATTTTCAGATTCATCCCAAATGTTTACTTGTACTCAGGGCTTGATTTCCAGCAGAACGCACTGGAACAGTATCCTGGTATCTCGTTTTGGTACTTCAAGAATAACTATTAAATTTAATATAAATTATTCAACTAATTTTATTTAATTAATAATTAATTTGGGATGCATTCTGGAGCCAAAAATGTTATAAATCAAGCACTGCTTGTACTTGTAAACAGTAGAATAAAAAATTAACATTTTTATATTGGCTTCTTTTACAGGATACATGATGCATCTTTCACAAGTTTTGAAACCACTAGTGGTGTTCTAGATGATTATGAATATGATGAAGATTTTTGCCATGTAAGTTTATTTTATTAAATATTATAATGAATAACCTCCATACTTGTAGTGGCAAAAGTTATAATCTTCATCAATGCAATCACTATCATCATCAACATCCCTACCATCTCATCTGACAATAATAACCATTAATATTCTAATACAATTTTATTTTTATTATTGTAAAATATTTGTATATTAATAATCAATCATGTTTACAGCCAGTATTTCAGAAAACAGACCTTTTAAGAACTTTAGGAACTCAGACAACAATGTCGTACAGTTCAGGAAAATCAAGTCTTCAAGAAGAACTAGAAAGTTCAAAATCGAGTGAATGTGATTTTACCAGTCTGCATAAAATATTTTGAATGAGTGTTGTACAATTTTTATTTTAGGCAAATCAATAAAATTATGTAATATATGTTGTTAATAAAATGTATTTTCTTAGATGATTGTACTATTTATTCCAGATATTTTGTTCACTACCTCATTATCTCTAGAAAACTAAAAAACCCTAGAACTTTGATAGTAGTTATGATAGTAGTTCACAGACTCTAAACTCACATTTTATAATTAAGATATTTAATTTGCAATATATTTTCTTTTTTCAAATTTTATAATAATTTGCATTATACTTCTTATATTTATGAAAACTTTTATTCTGTACTATATTTAATGAGATACCAAAATTGATGATAGTAGTATTTTGAACTTACCTTACCATGTTCCTCTTTCCTTTAGCAGATTTATTTATTGAGTATTGATTATAATACCAACTTCCTTATTGGAATTATTTTAATATTCTTTCTTTGTTATTGTGTATGTTTTTAATTACCAGTGTACATTTTTATTATGAAGGTTGATAACAGATACCCAATTGTAACAGTTGAGTTACAAAATAGTTGTATGATATTTAAATTATGAATAGATACCCGTCCAATACAAGATTAAAAGATAACTTTAAATTCATATTAAAGTTCAACAGAATTTTTCTTATTTTGGGACAATTACCCCAAGGTCAATTTTATTCCATATTTTCTCAGTTTGTTGTTCCCAACTACCTCATTTAAATTTTTTAACCACCGCACTCTCAGAGAAGTTGAGCAAATCACCCCCCATGAGGTGAGAGAAAAGAAGCCAGACATAGAACTGTGAATGCAAAGAAGTGTTGGCATCATCTGTAATAGTTTGAAGTTCTCAAAAAAGACTTTTCTATGTAAGACTATCCAAAGTTGCTTTGTTTACATAGTGAAAACAATCATCTGTAGAGTTTCTCAAAAGAATTTTCAGAGGATAACTCATTTTATAGTTTAAGGTTAATGTGTGTATTGCCTTCAAGTGTTTAATATAATGACATTTGGAAAAACAGCAAAAAGTGTAGGTATTTACAACTATTATATTATTATACAATATTAGTTATGTGCCACTGATAACAGATGGAACTAGCTGATCATTTTGGAGGGGGCCATCATAGATTTTTGTTAAATTAACTAATTTATTATTGTACTGTATATTATTTGTATACTGTAGATATGATACTTAACAAAATTATTGTTTAAATAATTACATAATTCAAACATAGCAAAATTTATTTAACTATTTATTTAATTAATGGAAGGAAAA